TTGCCCAAACTCTAGGCCTGCTTCCTTGGTCCTGGCATCCTGCCTGGTCTGCTGCTGCCTGTGACCAGGACATGATGATGGTACCCTGAGCCCCTGCATATGCTTTGGGGCAGGAAGCAGTAAAGCACTGACACTGTTCCAGGTCCTCTGGATTAAACCCTCCCCTTTCTCTGAGAAAGACGTAGGAGCCCATCAGCCCAGAACCCAGGCTTTTCTCATCAGAATGTTTGGATAATACCCCCAAATCTGAAGTGATTCTGTTCCAGACTTTCCCACAGTCCTGTTTCTCCAAGAAAAGACAGGGCAAATGCATTCCCTTGATAATCTAAAGAATAGACTATTAGAGTCACCAGGGAAACATTTGTTCAAGCATTCTTCTCTGCTGAATGGGAACCATAGGATCCTTCCTGTGAAATGTGTACTCAGTCATGCTGACCCACCCATGGAAACTTTGGCTCATGCATGGAGGTGTGTATCTGGGGACAGAACCAAGGTGGGCAGAGGTTAGTGGGGAGCCACCACTGCCCACGCTACTAAGCTTCCTTATCGTACTCCACACTGGAATGAGCTCACCTTAAATCCCTAATATTTTACAAAGGTTTCAAACCTCATCTAAAAAGTCAAACGCACAATAACCTGTGCTGGTGTAAAAGGTTTTATCTTCCTTGGTGTTCAACATAACAGAGACTGGTCAAATGAGGCCTTTAGGCTCATATGAAACCAGAGAATTTCTGCTATGGAACATGCCATTCTACATAACTAGCTGCCCTGAGAAGTCCTTCCTTCCTCAGTAAACTTGCTCTGCTCAGGAAACCCCCTGCCCCAGCGTAACAGCCAGGAACCTCATCTACTAATTACACTGGGAATCCAGAGGACGGTGGGCGTGGGAAAGAGAGCTCCACAGACCACCAGCACAGATGCTGTGGCCACTTCCTACTCTGTGGAAATACAACTTACACACTACCAACATTCCCACCGTGGACCCATCCATGACTTAAGTCTGAGTCTGCCTTGATGTGTCAGCAACCCAACCCCCAAGCCCCATTCTTCGTCTTCCTGTTCACTGGGTATTGAGGAAATTAATCCCTTTTAAAAGAATACAGACTTCCATCACCTTTCTCAGACTCTTCTGATTTCCACCCAGACCCCATGCTATTCCAGGCAAGCCAGTGCCAAACAATCTACCCCAGTCCTTTTACCGAGCTCCTCTAGTATCAGCACACCCACTTCTGGTGCCTTAAGCAAATAGGGCCTCCCGTGAGCCACTAAGGGCTGCCGGCAAGCTGACTAAATTTGGAAGCAGCCTGAATCACCTACTTGTTGCCTCGAGATACAGACTCAGATACGATACACAGATGTTTCTGTGATAGTACAGGTCTTTGGTGTCATGTTTTAGAGCTGCCTCTCCAGTTTTGGGGGGCAGGCCTGCATTTGGTGTGTCTCTTTCAGTCCTGCAGATAAAAAGGGACATATCTTTGTTCTTGGGGACCCAGTCTTCAAAATGGGATGATGAGTATCTTGCTTGGTCCTTTAAGTTGGTACTATTAACCAGACTATTAAGCTCTTGCAGAATTAGAGACTTCCACCACCACTATCACCACCAAATATGTATTTAGAGGCCAGGGGTCCTTAAACTTTTTTGTGCCCTGGATCCCTTGGCAATCTGGAAAATCCATGGTTTCCCTCTCAGAATAATATTAAATGCATAAAACAAAATACAGATTACAAAAGGTACCAATTATATAAAAATACAGTTATAAAATTGTGGTATATCTGCTTCTTTATAAAAGCATTAAATAAGTAAACGTAGAGGCAGGTTCACTACTACTATAATTTCAAAGTAGTGACGAACATAAAGAATATTGTAAAAAATCTGCAACAACTGTTGTATAATAGAAACATCTGCAATTTTCATGGCTGATAAAGACACAGTACAATACCTCTAATACGACTATGGTTTGCTGCCTACATGCCTAACTTAAGTGCATGGGGAATTTCAGTTACAAGTTAGTGAACATAATTTTTTTTCCCATCCAAGGTTATGGATTCTGGATTCCGTCCATGAATCCTGGGACAAGAGTCCCCATTTTAGGCAGTACTGGCTCTCAGCTTGGTTTGTCCTTCTGTCCAAGACCTGTCCACAGGAGATGAGGAACACGAAGCAGCAACCACAGAGAGGATGAAAGCATAATTTCACCTTGGTATTGTGTCCCAAAGAGAGCCAATAAAGAAGTGCCAGTGTCATGCTTGGGCATTCTGCCAAAGTCCTATATTTTTAGACTTTGGAAATGGACTGATTAATATTGTAATTTCATTGAGAGTCAATCTGTAACTGATGAGTGGAATTGGACGTTTGTAAAACATAGGCTTTCTTCAAGGAATACCATAAATTATTTGGGATGGAAAGCCTGACAAAAGGCAGGAGAAGAATCTATGTGTGTGCATGTTTGTGTGTGTGTGATTTTTAAACAAAAATTGATATACTGTAATTCTTATAGCCTGCTTTTTTATAATATCACAATGTATCATGAATAATTTTCAACAAATACAGTTATAAGATAGTATTAACGGCTGCATAATATTCTATTATAGGCATATAGCATAATTTATTTAATTAAGCCCCAGGTTTGAACATGTGGGTTGTGTACAATCTTTATAATTATTATGAAATTGTGCTCTGATGGATGCTGTAGATTTCATCTTTGTCCACATTCTACTTTTATTTTCTTAGACTATTTCTATAAATGGAATTGCTGTGTCACAATTTAGTAACAATAGTAATGCATATTTTAAAGAGTTTTTGATCTGCACTGTCAAATTGTCCTCCAGAAAGGTTGTTCCTGTTCATAACAGAACTAGAATCTTTGACCTTGGCTCAGAACACAGCAAAGAGACTGGAAGAATGTCTCTAAATGGTGAGAAGTAAGAAGATTCAGTACAAGAAGCAGGAAGGAAGCATATGCCAGTGTTGTGCCTACGACAGTCTCCTTTTCTCTGGTGCTGGAAATACCTTTAAGACAGAATATGGGATGGAACCGAGTCCTCTAGACCTGGGATCCCTTGTGTTGACTTGATTTAAGCCACTTGGATAAATCCAGCCTTATACAGCTGTGCTAAGGGGACCCAAGGAAGGGTTTGTATCCATGTTTGGACCAGATTAATACTGAGAATAGTGGAATCAGAAAGCACCCCAAGGGAAGGGCAGTTTCAGGTATGAAGGCATGAGCAGAGCTGGCCACCTGGTCCATTACTGCTGACCTGGAGAGTCAGTGCCTTCTCTGCTCACACAATAGGGGTTTGGGAGCATTACTATAGTAATGGAGGCTGTTTCTTCCTTTTATCTTTTTTTTTTTTTAACCATATGCAGCTAGACACTATATTCCAGGAGGGCAGAAACCACTTAGTACCTCTTTTGTATAACCAACAAAAGCTGACATGGGGGGTGGAAAATACTTTCTAATTCCCTCCACTGTCAAAATAAGATAGCAGATCCTGCCACAAAGTGTACTGGACAATTAAAATCTAAGCCCACCCACCACTGACCTTTCTCTCTTCTCTCTCATGGTTCTATAGATGTAGACTTGGTTTGTTTCTTCATGCACAGAGACCAAAGATTAGTTCCCTTTCCATCATCCTATCTCCTAGATCTGCAATTAAATTATTAGTATCTTCCCCTACATCTCTCATCTGGGATTCCACAGAAGGCAGTGGTAAAGTAAACTTTACCACCCTAAAGTTTAGCTTCCTATTCATAATCTAAAGATCAAAAAATTGCATCCGTTAAGACTCTCTCTCCCTGTTCCAGGTCCACACCAGGGCCCCCTGGCCCACTGCCCTACTACTCCCTGTCCAACCTCAGGAGGGACATAAAATCAGGTGGGCAGCAAACAGATCCTAGATTAGCATTTGCTTCTGACATTGGTGCTCACCAGGTCGGCTCTCTCGCACTTTGGGGTACTGCTTAGATAAAATGGTCTCCTTCTTTTCTCATGCGACTTTTCTGGATTCCACTTCTTGCCTGCTGTAACTGTAGTGCCCATCTAACCCTTGCCACTTAGATGTCTCTCTGTCTCTTACCCAAGAGGCCCTTGGTACCTACCCCATCCGACCCCACTAGCCAGAGGGCAATCCACCCAACTCTTGACCGCTTCTGACATCCTTGCGCTCATTTGTCAGAGAAGGCCAAGGCTCAGAAAAGTTACATTGGATATAAAACTGTCTTCTAGCCAGCCTCGGGTCCTGACATTTTTATTTCCCTCGAGATGGGATTGAATTATCTTCTATCCCCCTCCGCGATCAGAACTGGAGTAAGATTATCTGCACCATCCCCACACCCATGCCCGATTTTCCCGCGAGCGCCGAGCACCGGCAAGTCTAAAACACGATCCGCTCGCGAAGACTTCGCGATCTGTTTGGGTGGATAAAACAGCGCACAGGAAACGCAGAGCAACCGGAGCTGCATCCAATCACGCTCTGGTTTGTGTCCCAGATGCAGCCCCAGGAAGAAAACAAGTGTTTGCGGAATTTAGCGGCCAAGGCCCTTCATCCAGGCTTTATTCTCACTCCCGCCCCACTTTCTCTCTCTCACATCCCCAACCCCGAGCCTCAAAATCAATCCCCCAGATTCGAAGGGTGGGCCCGGGGCTCTTTACCCGGCTCCTGAGACCCAAGGCGGGCATCTTCCCGGTCTCCAGCAGCCCCCGGGCGCGAGCCCAGCGGGGACCCGGCGAGCAGCCCCCGAGTGGCTCTGGGGAAGGGCGAGAGAGGCAAGCGGCGGCAAGGCCCCCAGACAGCCCGACTCCCCGAGGGAGCGCGGCGGCGGGGTCGGGGGCAGGGCGGGGAGGCGCCGGCGCAACCAATCCCCGGGCCGCCCCCTCCACGCCGCCGCGAGCCGAGCCGGGGCGGGGGAGCCAGGCGGCGGCGGCGGCGGCGGCGGCGACGACGGAGGCTGCCGTGGGGAGGGATGGAGAGGGGAGGGGGGAGCGGAGCCGAGCGGAGACAGCCGCGGCGCTGCAGAGCGGCTGGGGCGGCGGCGCGGCTCCCGGTGCTCCCCCCGGCGCCCGCCCCGCGTCGGTGAGGGCCCGGCCTGGAGGCCCGGAGCCATGGGCTGCATCGGCTCCCGGACCGTGGGTGGGTACGGCGGCGGCGCGGGCGCGGGCGCGGGCGCGGGCGGAGGCAGGACTCGGCGGAGTCCGGTCCTCCGGCCCCTCCCCCCACCAACCCCCGCGCCCCTCCGGGTCCCTCTCTCCGCACCGCCCGGCCCCGCCGCGCTCCCTCACTTTCCCTCTGTGCCCTCGGGGTCCCTGCCTTCCTCTCTCCTCTCCGCTCTCTCCTCGCGCCTCCGGGCCTTGCATCCCTCTGGACTCTCAGTTCTCTCCGTCTCCCTCCGGCTTCCTTCCATTGCCCTCGCCCAGGCGCGGTCCCTCTCCATCATCTCCCCGCCAACCTTCTCTCTCCTCCGTCGCCCTCCCCGACTCTCCCGTCCCCGCACCCTCCAGCTCCAGGCCATCGGCCTCGACTCTGCCTTCCCCAGCGCCTCCTCGCCCCCACTTCATTTCTGGAGCGGCCCCCGTTCTAAGGACCCCCAGTCTCAGTCTCAGCCCCGAGTCCCTTTCGCACGCCCCCCGCCCCCGCTCCGCCTCCATCTGGCTTGGGTGTTTTGCCCCCA